AAATTTAGAGTTTTTGAGCTCTCAGTCATTTATCTGCTGACTGATTGTAGCCATTGGTGGTTTCCCTTGACATTTTTACTGGTGCTAATAGCTTGACTTGATACTTACAAAGTTGAACAAGTTTTTTTTCTCCTAAAGTGAAATGATTTCCTGGTAGATTCAAAGTACAAATGCAGCTTATACTTTGGATTTGATAATAAGGGTTAATAAGAAAAGCTGCTGTCATAGTTTAAAGATAGTACATTTTTATTTCTGCTATTTTATTTTATTTCTCATCCTCACTACAATAATTTCCTAGATATTAACAGCCCAGAAATTGTGTCATAGAAAATAATATACTATGTCTCCCAAATCTGTCTTCGTAATACTTAGTGGCACTTGAATGTTACATTAATTTCTTTTTGACAAGAAACTAAGTGATGATTCTTGCCTGGTAGGAATTAATGGAACTACAAATATGTCAAGGTTATGTAAGTCACAATAGAAGAACAGCTCTTGAGGGCAGGCTTGAAATTGAACTCACTGAAAAACTATCAAAAGTTAATAAAGCTCATTAGTATACCTCTTACAGTTGATTTTCAAATGATCTTCAATTAAATGAATTATGTTCTGTGTTGGAGCATAGATTTTATCCACTCTAGAAATTGTTTTGAGGATATGTTTAGTCTTACGACTTTATGCTTTGTAAAGTAAAGAGTATTTTTGAAAGGCATATTTTGTTTCTGTGAAGTGATAACATCAGGAATATGAGGATAAAATTTAACTTTGCAGAGTTTATTACAGACTTTCTATTACTTTGTGGTCTCCAGTCAGTCTTTGTGTATGGCCAGCCTGGCTAAGGCAAAGCAAGGAAAATCTTAGGAAGTATGCTTGCCCGTAACACTAGTTGGTAATGGTCCAGAAAGGAGGCATGTAGTCCTGACTATGGCATTTATCCTTTTCTTAATCAGGAGAGTCTCTAGCCCTTCTCTGATGCCTTAAAGATAAATTTTAAAGTAGTGGTGGAAAATATGACTGCTTTAGCAATTCCACCTTACTATGTCATGCGCATCATTATTCTGAGTATATATGTCTGTATGTGTCGTCACATGGGTTATGTGCAAAGATGGGGCCTGACTGAGTACCAATAAATAAAAATAGTACCTTTTGTAAATAATTGTTCACCTTTGTGTTTACTAGATAATTAATACAAGTGAAGATAATTTAGGATGTTTTATATATAGGAAAATAGGAACAGATCACATATTTATTAATGTACCATTATACTTTACATTCTAGAATAATTGGTTTCATAGCCATAATATTTATGATACTCAGTTTGTTTTTAAATACAGAAGAATGTCTGAAATTTATATTCAGCAAAAATGCTAAACAGTTAAATAATGAATATTCAATTTATGCTAAACAATGTGCTAAACACTTTAGAGAAATTATTTATCTAAATAAATAAAATAATGTATTTTATATTATTTCATTTTACAGATGAAGAAGCTAAGGTAAGCAAGATAAGTAATTTGTCCAAGATCCCATAGGTATTAAATAAGGAAAACAGGCTGGGGAGTTGGCACAGTAGAATAAGTGCTTGCCTGGCAAGCTCAAGGGTCTGAGTTCAATCCCCAGTTCTGCAAAAAAAAAAAGAAAACAGAAATAGAATCAATGAGTTTGTTGATCCACAATATTAGACACTGAAGAGCAAAGTGGTAGCTATATGTGCCAGGAAGGAAATTATGGGTCAGATTGTAAGTCTAGATTTTTGAGAAGTAGATGTCTATGAAGCCATGACTATGGCTGGCAGTAGTTAATTGTGTATTCAAAATCGCTAATAGAAAAAATTTTGAGGATTTCATAGCACAAAGAAATGATAAATCTCTGAGATGAAGGATATACTGGCTATTGTCATTTAATCATTCTATATTGCATATCCAAGGATTGAAATACCATAGTATGTCTTAGTCTGTTGTTGTACCAAAATTTCTGAGGCTGTGTGATTTGTAAAGAAAAGACTTGTTGAGTATACAGTTGTACTTAACACACTTGAAGTGGATAACATCACAGTGATGAGAGTATATGCCAGAAGGAAGTAAAAGTGGAGAGAGCAGATAGGTAGGTAAAAGGGAGGAAGAGCCATTATTGCTGTTTTATAACAATACTCTTGCAAAAACTAACCAGTGGCCAGCAATCATGAGATTAATTCCTTTGGACGACAGTGCCCCTCCCCACTGCTTCACCACCATATACTAGCCCTGCCACCTTAAGGGTTTCACCAACCCAACATTGCCATGCTGAGGACAAACCTTCAATTTATGAACCCTTAGGAGTCACACTCAAACCTTAGCATAGTATACTCTGTAATTAGATAATATGTACAATATAATAATTTAAAAATCATATACGTAGATAGTCACCAACAGAATAGGCCATTTGAGGTCCTTAAAAGAACTTTTTAAAAAGTAGTCCTAGGAAGGAAAACCCAAGAAAAGTTTGTAATTGTAGTTTCCTTTAATTTTGCCCTTTAATAAAAGAGGAAGATCAAATATGGATAGAGAATTACTTTTACTGTATAAGTTTAGTTTCTAGAAAAATTTTTAATCAATTTCCTTTCTTTGAATCAGACTATCAATTCCATTTATACACAACATAATCCTACAGATATAAGCAGTTTCTGGAGAATATGCTTTAATCATTTGTCCTTCCTAAAGTGCTGCAAATTGCAAAGGAGTTATCCTGTGGACTATTGGACACATATCTGCTCTTAACAACAGTTACCAATGGTAATAGTAACATTTTTTGGGCAATCTTTTCAAATACTTTAACTGTATGGGGAAAAAAACCCTTCTATTATAAGACCTGGGCAGTTAAAACGTATGTACCTGATTATGTGATTTTCATGTTTAGATTTCATACTATGTCTTCTTTTCTTTAGTGCTGGAGATTGAACCCAGGGCCTTTTGCAGGCTAAACATGTATGCCAGCTCTCAGATAAATCTCAGCCCCATAGCATATCTTTTTCTATAATATTTTTGTATGTGCCTTATTCTAGATTACTGTCTAAAATTTTCCCTATCATTTGGAATTAATTACTGTGATACATATATGTAAAATATATATATATATATACACTGTGATATATACACATATATATGTGTGTATATATGTGTGATATATATTATATATCACATATATATAGTATATATCACACATATATACATGTATTTTTATTAGTACATGTTTGAGGTACATAAAGACTGCATTCATCATGAATAATTGGTACGTGCACTAACATTTTAATTTGTTCTAATTTTTATTCAGTGTTATCATGACATTCCTATAAGGCTTCAGAATTTCCTCTTGACTGATTTGTCATATGTTCTGTATTTGCTAGCAAATTTGGAACTTTTCAGTTTGTTTCCTTTTTTTTTTTTTTTTGTAAGAAAGGTGGTAAGATCTTATTACCACCCAGCATGAAGTAGCAATCAAAATAAAAAAGAGAGCAAGAGATGGTGCTGGCTTCACCACAAGCTAATCAACTCCCCACCTCTTGTACACTTCTCAGCTGCAGAGATAAAGGGAAATAGCTTTCACACAGTAACTCTGACTTTAAACATTTTTTCTTTCTTAATTTGAGACTGAAAGAGGAAATTTGTTTGAATACTTGTAGGAGTACAACATTAGACAGTATCTTTAACTTGCAATTAGTAGTATTTTATATTGCTTTGAATTGTACAAGTACTTTTTAAAGAGAATAAAAAATAATAAAGAAAAACAGAAAAAAAACATTAGAAACACTATAGAATTTCACTAAACAGGCTTGCTCAAAGTAATCTCATCCTGTTTTCTTGACATTTAAGTACAGATATACCATTTATTTCCAGAAATTAAATGAAATCAGATAAATTAGTTTTAATAATGCTTAGACTTTTACTCAATTTTGAGATGTCGGTGCCTAAATTTGTCAAAAAAGAAAATCACGCTTTAGATTTGTGTTTAAAGGATGCGTTTTGGTGACTTCAGCAGCACATAAACTACAGAATATGTCTTCTTAATACGGTATCATGTAGGTTTTTAGTTTTTATAGTGAATAAGTTGAGTAATTAACCTAGTATGAGGCAGGGGAGATGGATAATATTTTACATTTTAAGTGACTTTGACTTAAGATTTCATTATCAGATTCTCAAGGACTTAAAAATTAGAAAATATGTGATATTGGGTGAATATAGAATATACTGTACTCTTTTCTGGGATATATTTTGGTATAACTCAGGAAGGAAAATATCTTTATGAAAACTAAAAATGCACCTACCCTTTGACCTAACAGTTCAATCTCTAGGAGTCTATTCTTGAACACAAATACATACATATTATGTATGGCATGTATGTTTTTGTATGTATTATTTATGTATATATAATTTGTTACATAATTTTAAAATGTAAAAAGTCATTTATAGGAGAATATTAAATTATTCTATATTCAGATATTCCTCAGGCATTTTATTAACTGTTTCCGAACAGAATAAAATTATTTGCATGACTTGATGAAAAGTTACTATATCTTCTTCTTTAGTCCTAGAGATTGAACCCAGGGCCTCTCACAGGCTAAACATGTGTGCTACCTCTCAGATAAATCCTATCCCCATAGCGTATCTTTTTATATATTATTTTTGTACCTACCTTATTGATGAGAACATTTGATAACTTATCCTATTAATTAAATAAAGGGAATGATTTTGCTTCTAGGGAAATGCATAGATCCAAACTTTCTCCCCCCACCCCCACTCCATACTTAACTACATACATGTAACTATAAAGAGTTGGATAAATGAACATTTAAAAAACTGTTTGTAGCATTTATCATTGGGGAATAGAATTGTCAGTCTAAAGTAGAAGGGAAAGATTTTACAGTTTAACTGTGGTTTCTTCTGGAACTTGTATCTTTCTTTTTATAATTAAAATGAAATTTTGCATCAATAACAAAGTCTTGGGTTTTTTATTTCCTCTTTTAGGACTCAGCACAGGAGAGTGTTATAACACGAGATATTCACCGTACATTTCCTGCACATGATTACTTCAAAGACACAGGAGGAGATGGTCAGGAGTCACTCTACAAGATCTGCAAGGTAAGGCCCTTCCCCTCATTTTTATCAACATTTTACAGGGCTATATTTTATGAACTCACCTTGAAGATTTTTTTTTTCTGTCTTCATATCTCATTTGCACTATAACATATTCTCTGGTTTACACATGCACTGTCAGTTCCTCAGTACTGATCCCGGAAGGTGACTTTTTGCCTGTATGTTCCAAAGAAGGCACAATACAGCTCACTTTGGCTCTCCTGATAACAGTAAAAAAACATAATGTCCTCTCAGACTGTGCTGTAAAGGTGCAGGGGAATCATGGATGAGCCTATCCTTCTCTCAGGATAATGTGGCATTTGTTTTGGTTCTTTGATAATAGATAAGTCTGAGAATCAGTGTAGGACTTGTTGACTATTGACAAGTTCTCTGATATTAATATACTCTAAGTCAAGTCACATCATATATCTCTGTGCAGTTTTTATATTTCATTTTGAAATATTTCTTCATTATTGGTAGACCTCGAAAAAAAATAACTGCCTTTTGATTTTCGATGAATGTGCTCTGTGTAAATATAAAAGATTCCGTCTTTGTCAGTACAGGATTGCCAGCAAGATATTCATTTTGCAAGGTTATAACAGAAATTTAGAATGAAAAGTGATGTAGGTTCTCATATTGTTCTCTCTTGTGATTCCCATATGAATTGTTAATGAATAGTAAACTACATAAAAATTTGGTAATATGGAAAAAAAAGCAAATGCCTTGGCTAATTTGTAAGTTAGAGAATTAGTCCTTGAATAAACAAATTTAGTATTTAAATGAATACTAAAGATTGGCCAGTAGATAGGCTGAAGTATAGCCGCAAATGTATTTTATTTTATATGTACTATTTTAAAAAGGGGCTCATAAAAGCACTTGCCTACATGTATTAACTAAGTATATTTATTTAATTTTGCAAATGCCACATCTTTCATTAAAATCCTTCTTGCACGTTAGTTGGTTTGCCCTCTGCTCACTCTTATCTTTTTCTTTCACTTAGTGTCTCATTTTTGATCTATTTTGAAATATTTTAAATTTATACTGGTCAGAGATCTATTTTGGAGGGTCTGAGGGTGTAGCTCAGTGTTAGGGTACTTGCCTACCACGCATGAGGCCCTAGGTTCTATTTCTAGCACAACAGATTTTTTTAAAAAAGAAAATCTATTTTTATATAGATGTGTCATTTAGAGCTACAAATACATGAATAACTAAAAATCTTGAGCGTATAATGACTGCCAGAAAAAATTATAGGCAATCTAGTTTAAAAAATAAAAACTAGTAGACACTACAAATCTGTATAATATATTCATTATATGCTTGTAAAAGTAATTGTTAAAATTATTCTATAACTTTTGAAATTCTATGTGCTAATTAACTTCTGGTTTGTATATAGAAGATAGAAAAATACATGTTTTTCAGTTTTTAGAGGGATATTTAGCTTCTGGCACATGAAACATTTTTTCTCTAACTGTATTTTCAGCTGATCAGTGACTTCTCCCTCAGTTTTCCTCTGATTGATAGCAACTTTCTTCATATGACTGAAACAGATGGTTCCATGTTTCTGCAGGGTCTGATTTAATGCTTTGCTTCGTTAAAGTAAAAAATAGTATTCATTTCATTATATAATATTTAGGGGGAACTAGTTGAAATATATACACAATGATACAAGTAAAATGATTGGCACTTTTGAATATTTGCTTTGGTGGTACAGGTGGTAATCCAACCTTGAGTTCATTATAATTAGAAAATAGTCATCAGTGTATTCACACAGCTCATGTAGCCATTTTAGATTATTAGTGTATATTTTATAACAGTTTTAAAACTATGAGTAAAGAACATTATAAAAATATACATTTAAGGTATTTCATTGTTGACATTAACTTAAATTATGCTAACTTTTGTAAATATGTGGAAAACAATCATATTAAAGATAATTAAGGCTTTTGAAACCGTCGCTGATAATGGAAGTGAGCAGATATATATATATATATATCAGGAAAATGTTAGAGAAATCAAATTTTCTCTGAACATACCACATAAACCGCTTGGTTTATGATCTCACCCAGTTCCTTTTCCTCTTTTTTTTTTTTCCTCCTGTGGTGCTAGAGATCTTGTGCATGCAAGGCAAGAGCTCTGCCACATCCCCAGCCTCTCTTTTTTCTCTTTTTGTTTGTTTCAGTTGTTGTTTGAGACAGGGTTGTTCTGTGTAGTTCAGACTGACTTTGAAATTACTATGTAGTCTAGAGACTGGCTGTAAATTCATAGCAATCCTTCTGCCTCAGCCTCCTGAATACTAAGATTCTAGGCTTGTGCCACCACACCTGGCTCTTTCTCCTCTTAATCTCTTTTTTAGTTATCTGATGTTTATGCCAAGAAGTCCATGTACCCTTTATCATTTAATGTATTTTCAGCCTATCATGATTGCTCACAAATAATCAATTGCATATATATATATATATATATATATATGAATAAGTATTCTTCTCAAGTTTCTATGTGCACCTTTCTTTTTTTATTTTTTATTTTTGCTGAACCAGGGGTTGAACTTAGGCCTTTGAGCTTGCCAGGCTAGTGCTTATTTTACTGAGCCATCTCCCCGGCCCCTCCACCTTTCTTCCTTCTTTGAATCAAATTTGATCTGTAGTTATTTTCAATTTTGGTTCTTATCTGTGTGCCTAAAAACTGTGTATAAGTTCCCTCAGCACACTTTACCTCTTCTAACATTTTTAGTCACAGAATAATACCCAGAAGCATACCTCACATTCACAGCTATATCAGTGGAGACTCTGCAGAGAACCAGACATTAAAGATACCACCATGGTATTGCATCAGCCACATTGTTATATAATCTATAAATAAAGAAAATTTCCTTTCTCTTTACAAATCTTCATTCATTTTCTTGTCTTACTATACTGATCACAACTTCTAGTTTACTGTTAAAATGAAACAATGATAATAGACATGATTTGCTTCTAGTCTTAAAAAAATTGCTTCTAATAGTGTTTCATTTCCCATAAGCAACACAATTATAAATAATTTTTTAAAAATAGTGTCACTTTGAAAGTAATAATGCACAATGTACTGAACATTGTTAGTCTCCTACAATCTTATTTTGAAATTTTATACCATTGTTTTTATTGTATGTTTTCTTCTCTTTAAAATTAAATAAATTTAAAAATAGTGTCTTCCATGTGAAAGCAATTTTACATTTGCAGAATAATTGAAAATGTATTACCTCATTATTTCTGTCAATTTTTGATCAGTACAGCCTGTACTAGAGGTACAATATGCTATGCTTTTAAATTGAACAGAAATTATTAGGAGAATTAAGTAAGTTTAAAAATCAACTCTAGTTTCAAGGATACAGAAGTTTGACTTTGTAGTTGAAAAGTTTTCTGTGACTCTGGTGAAATGAAAAATGATCTAAACTGTCAGATTAGAGGAAGATTTAAAAAACTTACTGTCATGTTTTAATAGTCCTGTCAATTCCAGTTCGACCTTTTAATATCTGTTTCAGAGTAGGAGGAAATCGAAATGGTTCAAAACTTCTTCTGTTGTCATAAATTTATATAGAGAAAATTGAGCTGAAAGTGTAATAGTAGAATTCATAGGTTTCTGCAAATGAAAGTTTTCTGCAAATGAAAACATTTAATCCCTCCTTCCCTTATTGCCTTTCCTACTAGTTATGTCAGTATCTTATTTTAAAAGAATGTCCTTGAGAGGGTACATAACATCCAAGCGTCTTTAGAACTTTTCTAGTTTATATGTGATATAAAAAATTTACACTTGTGTTAGGAGACAGATTGGTACAGTATAAAGGACTGGGCACCAGGAGATCTGGGTTTTGTTTTGATTTTTCTACCAGGCAGATTATAAAACTGGATAAGTCATTTGGTAGGTTTCTGGCTCAGTAAGCATGACTATTCCGGTAAGATTGTTCTCTGTAAGACTGTTCAAGTTCTAATTTGCTATGACTCTAGATTTTTTAAAAGTCTTTTTCTTTTATAATATTATATATAAATCTAGAATTTAGCAGTCAAATCCTGTGTTACTCTGTAGGTTTCTGTCTCAATAACAAAACTGTAATGCACTGATTTCACCTGACCTTCTCTTGTTATTTGTATGTCACATCATGTGGAGTTCATTAGTGTCTCTCTCTCTCTCAACTGGGGATTGAACTCAGGCCCTTGTGCTTGCCAGGGAAGCGCTTATTCCACCGAGCCATCACTCCAGTGCCAGATATACATCTCTTTCTAAGACTGTCTGCTTGGTGATAGTAATCAGCCAAAGCATTATTCACAAAAATACAGACTGAAGTGACTTCTGGTGTGCACTTTAATTTGTGCATGTTGCATCTTTTAATTTTCTGTTTAAAATAACTCCTTTCTGAAAAAGAAGCTACTGCTGTGAATTTAATGGGAAAGAATGAATATAGTACAGAGAGAGCAATACCTTTGTTCATGTGGGTTAATAATGAATTGTGGAAAGACAAAAATATAGTTACCCTCTGTTTTACTATATGCTTTTGTCAAAGCAAGATTGGATTTATTATAAAGACTGAGAATTTCAGTTACTATTTTAATACTAATAATGATGAAACTTACAGAATTTTGAAAAAAGCAAATGAAATATCATGCATTATTCATCTTGCATTCTAGATAAGGGGGTATTTGTGATGTTGAGGGGGAATTATTTTTTATGAGTTGACAAAATTTTAAATAGATTTGTCTAGCTAATTGATTACATGTAATTCAGTTCTCTTCCTTGGGATACCACATTTGCCCTAGTTTGAATGAACAAATTTATTTATTATAAAAGCTATACCCCACTATTCTTTACATAAGACATTTGACTGATTGTGAGCAACCAATTGGATGCCTCCTACTTATATGACTTTCAAATGTGGTTAGTTGCAGAATAAGAGCCCTTTAGTGTATAGTTATAGGTGTTACATCAAAAAGGAGCCCAAAGCATTTAACTTAGAATAGTGTTTTGGGGGTAGCTTT